CCACACAGGTGTGCAAGCCCCACAGACACACAGGTACCTCCCAGGTGTGTGGGCTCACAGGGGTCAGCCATGCAGGTGCGTGAGCCCACAGGTGTCATCAGCCACACAGGTATGCAAGCCCCAGGTACCTCAGGCCCACCATCTGCAGCCCCCAGGCCCACTTCCTTTGTCCCACCCTCTGCAGCCCCCAGGTCCACTTACTCAGGCCCATGGTCTGCACCTCCCCAGACAGTGGATTCCACTGGCACACAGTCCTGGCGGTTATATCCACATACACCAGCTGCCCAGTCTCCTCTTCCCACACGGGACACTCCCCCATCCTGTACCTCTCCCTGATGACAGCCCCAGACTGCAGGCATTAGTCTGGGAGACCTCCAAGGTGGGTGCTGGGGTCTGGTTCCTGCTCCCACAGCCCAGGAGAGGCCACCACCTGGGTGGAGGAGGTCTAAAGTAAAATGGATGGAGAGCTGGACTGGAGCTCGTCCACTCCATGATAGGTGCTGGGGCTCTTGGGAGCACTGGCTGCAGCCAGGGGGCGCCCCCTCACCCCAAAGGTTCCTGCTCAAGGTGAGGTCAGTGTGTAGCCCTGGCTCTCACCAGATTGGGAGGGGCCCTCTGGTCCTTCTGATTGGCCCTCAGGGTTTGAAGAGAGGTCAGGCCCCCCTGCTGGGCAGCCTGCAGTTACCCCTGGAGCCGACCCCAGCATGGGTGTGTCCACTCACTCTCTGGSCACAGTGGGCAGGACACACACCTACTCTGTGGGGCTCTTGTAGGAGCAGACACCTCCCAGGACCACCAGTGACGTACAACTCTTCAAAGCTAAGGGGACATATTTAGGGAGCCTTGTGGGACCCTGAGGTCAAGATGGCTGAGGTTGCCCCTGATCCATCCCGATGGCTCTCCTCTCTATGCTCAAGCCAAGAACAGGCAGCGGCTGGACAGCGTCAGACCTCACGACATCTTGAGCATCAGGACACAATGCTGCCTTGGCTTGGTGGGAAGGTACAGTGGGCTGGAGACAGAAACCAAAGGGGGCAGGCAGTCCCTTGGCTGGGCAGGCAGGGTGGTGGGCCTCCATGCAACAGGACCTAGCTCTCCCAGAGACACACTGTGAGGGCGCAGAGCCCCACACACCCTTTGCTCCCACATTCCAGGGGCCCTGGCACCAAACCAGTTGTCATGCCCCCGTGACCCCAAAACAGGACACCAGGCACCCACCCTTCCCTGCTTCCTGGTGGTCCAGCCGTCCTACCTCCAGAGTGCTCATCCTCCACCTGCCAAACGCTGACCCGTTCCCAGGCCCTGCCTGGAGTCCCGGGTCAGCTTCCTTCTGCACCTGGGGGCTGATGATCTCATTGTCTCATGACTTACACCCTCTGACCTGCCCATGACTCCCCCGTTTGTAGATGAGCACACAGGGCTCCCAGACGGGACTCCGTGCCCAGCTCCCTGCTTGGAAGTCTATCAGGCATCCCACATGGGCTTGCCCACTCGCCCCTGTTCCCCTGCCTTCCTCCTCCTGACAATCACCTGCCTTCCTCCTCCCCACCTGGGATGCCTCCCCATGTCCAACCCCAGTGGGCTGAATAGCACCCCAAGTGCACCTGGGACCTTGGGATAGGGCTTCTTTTGCATGCAGGGTCTCTGCAGATGTAATGAGGTAATGATCTCAAGTTGACACCATCCTGGGTCTGGTGGCCCTCATGCAATGGCAGTGTCCTCACTACAGACAGAGGAGGGGACACAGACACAGAGGAGGAGCCCCGTGGGGGACGGAGGCAGAGACTTCAGTGAGGGGCCACCAGCCCAGGGCCACCTGGAGCCTGTGCAGGGATCTCAGCCTGGGGCCCCTGGTCTTGGCCTCTGCCCTCCAGGCCTGGCAGAGGACAGGTTCCTGTGGTTTTCAGCTGCTGGTTTGTGGTCATTTCCTATATCATCCCCAGGGTTCCCCTGCACTGGCCAAGTGCTGAAGGGCCACCTTGGCACTCCCGCCATCTGTAAAGTTCCCTCTGAAGCTGGACAAGTCATGCCTGGAGCCTACCCTGCAGCCTGTGGAGGGAGCTAAGCCCTGTGACCCCTGGTCTCAGCCTTCTGCCCTCCAAGGCTGGGGGAGAAGATCCCACCGGACTGG